ATATACTCTTATTACATAATAAACTTCATTGCATACTGCATATTTAGTTTACAAGCTTATTCTAATTACTCACTGGGAAAAAAAAGAGTATAAGCCTTCAAATTAATGTTAACTCAAGATTGGTATCAGCACAATTATATATCAGCAATTATGCAACTTATGCTTCAACAGAATGTATGCGACGTTAAGCATTGAAAACAGAGGGATAAAATAATGCAATACTCATTGCAATAACTACTTATAAACATTAACAATGACTGAAACGCCAGAAGTTCCATTTCCAACTTCAGAACAAGAAAATTCACTGGGATTTTTACAGGAAAGTTAATTCCAAAAGTTACCAAGAAAAATATATGCTCTAAAAGCCATGAATTAGATATACATACAGCAAGTTTTTAGTTTCTAAACTTAATATAATGTTAGTTCTTGTTTCATTCCAATTTCAATTAACCTAATACTAATTCAACAACAACAACAACACCTAATTAACTCTTCTAATTTCTATCTCAACAAAACTCAAGAACCCTAAGATCAATTTTTTCCCCAAATCCAAAATATATCAAATCAAACCCTAACTATAAGCATTGGAAAATCAACCCCTTATCTTGGTGTGGGTTTTCTTGAAACAAGATGATGATGATGTTGTAGAACAAACCCTAGCCTTCTCCTTCTCTTCTCTTCTTCTTCTTCTCTCTTTTCTTTCTTTTTTCTCTTCTTACCAACTACTCTTACTAACTCTACTTTTCTATTTTATAAAACTATCCTTCTACTACTAACTTTCCTCCCTCTATCTTTCTAAAATTATGGCCCCAACAATTATTTAATTCAAATTATAATATATAACTCTACTAAAACAATATTACACTAAATAATATTTATTCTATATAAACCTAATCATGCCAATTAATCAAACAAAGTCAAATATTACTACACACCAAATTAATATTATTCAAAATAATATTTCGACATAATGAATATTTTTATTTCATATTACCCAATTAATATTTCAATCGATCTCAATTGAATATATTTCTCAAAATAGATATAATTTAATAGTTTTGGAAAATAATTAATGAAATAACATTTAAATATAAACGGCGTGTTACAGCTACGGCCGCCCGTGTTGCCTGATACCGCCCGTAGCAGGTCTGGTTCCCCCAGAAGAAGAAAAGAAAATAAGCAAGTCAGCCATGTGCTATGGGTGCCTGTGTTATCTAACACGGCCCATAGCAGGAGCCTTAGGAATTAAAAATAAAATGTCATTGTCAGGCTTGCGTTACGGTCGCCCGTGTTGCCTAACACTCCCCGTAGCGCACGGGTACACTGATTTTTGTAACTTTTTCTGTTTTGCTCGAGTATCGAGCTGAAAGGATGTTTTAGGAATTTCCAACCGAGGTCAGTGGATTTTTTCTATTTAGAAGAGTTCTCACGAAGAATTATAGGACTTTTGACACCCATAGAAATATAACCTAAAAGGAAGATTGGAGAGCTCAAGATCATTGGTGAATGTGATTCTTCATGAACAGACATGATTGAAGATCCAATTTCCTCCAATTACTTGTAATGTCTAGAATTTCTATTATGTATTCTTTAAACTCTATGAGTAGCTAAATCCCCCCCTAATGTTAGGGGTGTCCCTGATTTGAGATTATAATGACTTTGATTTCCTAATTTCAATAGTATTATTGTTTTTCATAATCAATGTAATCGTACAATGTTTCAAATGCCTTCTCTGTTGGACCAATAGGGTTTGATTGACGGTTAACTATTAGGCTGAACGCCCTTGTTAATGCTTTTGTGTGATTAAGTTATAGTAGATATCACCTAGGACTAGAGATACCATGTAGCTACCGATAGATTTTTGATAATAAAAAGGCTTGATTTCTTCATAAATTCCTAGGGAGTTAGGATTTAGGATGAGCGGTCAAAGGTTTTCCAACTAAGGATTTAGGAGAAAATAAACTTAAAAACCGGTCATTGATATATTCTAAAATGTTGTTAAAATAAGGATTCAAGGTTATTACATGAACAATCATACACTTCCCCTAGCATGTTATTCCTATTTATCAAATTCAATCTTATTTTCAATTTACTTTTTTGTGTCAGTATTTTATAATTACAAAACAAACCCAAACGATAGATTTTTGTTTAATTGAGTTATAGTTCTAATTCGATATTTCTATGCAGTCCTTGAGATCGACATTCAGGAAATTCCCTCTTTATTACTACATAGGTAAAATAGTACACTTGTTATTTTACCGATCAAATATCCAAAAAAAATTACGAAAAAGGATATTTTTCTGATATGCATATCCGAAAGTGTCTTGTTGTATTTTTTTATACTTAATTTAATATTGTGTGTATCAGAATAGGCAGACCTAGTAGTCATGCATAGATGAGTCAAATAAGTCCTAAATAGCAAAGCCCTTATAACTAGGCTCTCTATTTGGCTCTCTTTTTTTAGGTCGCTTACTAAATGAAAACTTTCTTAGCCCCTTATTTTTAAGCCTCTCTCATGTTTTT